TTGCTAGCAATGGTTCATTGTCAGGTCGACCTCCACGCGGTTCCCACTGGAAACCATCGACATAAATTCTTGATAAATTTGTCCCGATGGGCTAACTGACCTGACCTCATGCTCAATCTTATCATCCTCCACTGATGCCCCGCTAATGTAAACCGTTAGCGCAGCCGGGTGCACCATTCCATGATCATCCATAAAAAAAAAACTCATGAATACAAATGTTTCGAAGAGGTATCGAACCCGCGGCCATCGAAAATAAGGCGGCGTGCTAGACAGCTAGATCATTAATGCCGTCAACTCTACCATGCAGTATAATGTTTGTTATTTCTCAGAATATAAAATATCAACTATAAATACCTTTAGTATTATCACATACCGGCTAGCATACGCTGAACCGTATGTAAAACAATGAAATTCCGACAATAATGATAAGAGGCTTATAAATACCATGAATTTGTCTGGCACAGTATCTACTGCATTGTCTCATTTAACAATAAGTATTGTACAATCTCCATTCATCCGGCTATTTTCTACACTTCACCTTGAATTTACTTTACTATATTCCACTGCACTCATTAGTGAATAGATAAGATTTTGTATTGCAAATTTCTTTACCTGCTCGGGTTTTCCTAATTCTGTATTCGAGTTACGCGTTTAGTGCATATTAGTGTAGTTTTAGAGTGGATCATATGATTTATTGGTTAGTAAGGAATTTATCTAACTCGACGATTCCAATAGTTATGTTCCAATTATGTAACTACAATATCAAACACTGCCTGCCTCGGTGGTCTAGCGGTTTAGATCACCGCACGGCATAGACGTGAGATATTATTATACTATACTAGCTGTTCTGGCAAACGTTGTTTTGCCATATAAATTAATAACGTTATAAAAAAAGGGTTGATGAGAAGGGTGAAAATTTAGGATTGTATGTATTTTTGTATGTTGTATCATAAAAAATAGAAACTAAAAATTTTGTCTAAAAGATAAATAAAAAAAATTTAGGGGTGGAATACCCCTAACATTTAGGGGGATGAAAAATAGATGTTGGTCGATTCTCAGACCTACTCAATACGCTCACAAAATTTCATGAGAATCGGTCAAGCCGTTTCGGAGGAGTATGGGAACGAAAACTGTGACACGAGAATTTTATATGTAAGATGAATAACATGTTTCATTAGTAGCGGTTCACGCTACTAATGAAACATGTTATTCCATATTAATAATGTCCTAATTATTACGTATAACACAATATTTTATATAACTCTACAATAACAGAAATATCCAACAGGTGCAGATGATTTTCAGGAACTTACATAAGTTCAGGGGTATAATTTGTACATCCATCCATAATAACTTTATTAAATCAGATGAAAGGTGGTATTAAAGTATCGTTATTTTTGCAGCTGGAAGTTTGAAACTTATCTTTTAGGCGGTGACTAAATATAATTCAATATGACATACAAAGTTTCTAAAAAAATATCCCTAATGGGGCTAAAATATAATGATATCTATGGTCACTATTGTACGCGGACGAAGTTGCGGGCACAGTTAGTTAGATAGACAGTCACGAGGACGCACAAGCTATTTTATGTCTTAAAAAATAATGGTCTAGGGGTGAAACAGGGAATGCAATCAGTCAGAAGAAGTCTCGGGTAAAAAGCTAGTATTTTATACATTTGATTTTTATTAATGATTAATATAATTATTTAGACATGTGATTCGATTTGATGTGGATTACCAATATTTTACTAATTATAAGCCTCTATTTAATAATTTATTAGTTTTATATGTGATTCGGTACATATTTGATGTCGATTAACAACAATATTTTACCAAAAATGGAGGCTAAAACTCCATTTTTATAATTTCGTTTCCTCTTACTTAATATCCTTTAGAAAGTATTGAATCCGTTGGACCGTTACATTAAATTGCCATGAGAAGTATTTATATTATTAAAAAATGATATTCACTTACGTTTCATAATGATAATGTAATTGAAGTGCATGCTGATTGTCGAACAAATGTAAAGGAATCGGCATTTTAAAGATAACATACTTTCACAATAACAAGGAGTGCAGAGACAGTTTTTTCCTAAAGGGTTTCAATGTTCTTAAAGGGTTTTAAACATAAAAACATATATTATTGTCAACTTAATACTTACAGCGAATAAGCACTACACTTAGACGATGCACTAGTTTATAAGTTATGCAGCAATAGGTAAGACCAAAGACTTTGTAGTCTACCTCGAAATAATACTTAGGAGGTCATAAATTAATTATTTGATATCCTTTTATTTAGTAAACTATTCTAATGTTGTTGGCCGCAGCTGACCTTTACAGCTTCACCGAACGACAAGGGGCGAGTGCAGATGGCACTCCAAACTCGCGGAGGCATTTATGGAGCAGCTAAATTGTGTTGAGGTCATCGTCTTCGCCTGCGGGGACGGTGTTGCGTGTTTACGTGGTAAGGACGGAACGGGTGCACTCGTAGGGGATTTGATCTCCGTGGTGCTGTTCATATTTAGACCACGGTTTCTATTTTCCATCAGATGGATCAATACCTTCCAGTTACATAAAACAAATAAATTGAGTAACGCAAATAACAAGATCACTCATAAGATAGCATGGGTTACATACGTGTAACTTCATGTGGTAATGATTACTAGTTAACAACAGAGGCCGCTGGCGCGTGACTGCATATGACCTTAATACCTGAGCATTGCATACTTTAACACCCGTTTCCACCATAATTGGTGTTCCGGAGCGAGTGATAAACTGATAACAATTGGCCGTAATTGATTATCGATAGAATTCTGCATTACCTGCTCTTTGTTTTGTATTCGTTGCGATTTAGATGAAAGAAAATTTAATATCATATTACTGTCAGATACGGGGACATTTGGAAATTCAGCAGGAGTTTCCCCTCTGGCACCTGCACCTACATACTCCTCCAGGGGATCCATATTAATACCAAGCTTTGTTTGGAATCCAGAAACATGGGCCACACAGCACCACTGACCTCAAACCACCCTGCACTTCTGACCGAGTGGCCGGATTACAGTAGACATGTCCATGTCATGCCATGTCATAATTAAACATGACTTAATCCTTGTTATCGTTGCCTACGTTGTTTTAAATACTACGGTAGCATGTTTAACATTTATTAATAAATTAACAATTACGATTAGGTGTTGAATTAAAAGAGATGAGCTAGCTGTAACATTCTCACTTTTTATAATGATTGAAGAACAAAGGAAAATGTTATTGCGCAGATTCATTTCAGCTCTTTTATTTCTATCAAGGTTATTGCACATGTATCCACTTTAAGGTATGGGTGTTAGGTCAATTTATTTTATTCGAAAAGTTGTTTATAAAAAATGTTACCCGTAAATAAAAAAAATGTCCTTTGTTTTTATTGCATACTATGGGCGCAAAGATCTCAGGGTTTGCATGGCGTGAGTTTAAGGCCTCCTTATTAAAGCTGTTTTATTTCATAAAATACACAAAATCTTAATAATTCTTATTAACTGAAAGGAACATACTATATGTATATTCTATTGGTGAATATGACATATTTATAAAATAGCGAGTACCCCGGATTGGTAGACGTGTTCCTACAGTGATGGTATTGATTGTAGTGATTACCACAATGCTTAAATTATTAAAAATTGGGTACCGCCGTTTCAAATTACAGCTTTTTAGACTTGGCAAATTTGGTTTGCGTTGATAGTCATCAGGGCAAATGATTTTATAATATCTATCGCTATGATGACGTCATGCTTACTTTCCATTGTCTTAGACAGGTGTTTAAATACTGACCTCTTTTAATGTGCACGGAATTTTATTATATCTATTTAGTAAAGTACATATTCATTATCATTGTTTTGCATTGTCATATACATTATTTGGAGTCGGCGCAGTATATCACCTTCCACCGGCTCCTACCAGCCGTCATATTATCTTATGAATGATAATGGAATGGTGCATCCGCCTGCGCTAACGGTATACGCTGGCGGGGCACCAGTGGAAGATGAGCATGAGGTCATGTCAGTTAACCCATCGTGGTAAATTCACTGACTTTATCACGATGATTTCCAGAGGGACCCACGTGGAGATCAACCTGACAAGGTACATTGCTAACGATGGGGTTATTAATCCACATTACTAGCAATCCCCTTGCCCTCCAGCCGTCATATTTGAGCCTACTCTCTCTCTACGTATTTCATTTTACAGACAGTTCCTCCATCTTATACCTTTACTTTCCACCTTCATCTTTAAACTAGATACATAATACTTAATGCCTTTAAATTTGACCTCTAACGAACGAAATATAAGTGAAAACAACGACCCAGCCTGACCATTTGCAAAACAATTTCAACTGTAATTGTGTACTTAACTGACTTCGGTATAGTTATTACTTTCTCTGTATACGGAGAATTATGTTAACCGCATTGAATTTAAAACGTAATTATTTAATTAGTTAGATAATAGATTTAACGATAAAAAAATTATATTAATGGTATGTACCTACGAGGCATTGTAGTTATTTTTTTCTTAATTTTGTATCCCATAGGTACATACATATATATTATATAACAGAGTTATGAATAAACAAAGTACTGTTAAGTCATAACTTACGTAAAACAATTGATTAATATTTAATTAAATATCTAATACAGCTCAACAAATTAAATATATAAATCGACAGATTTAATTGTAATAAATAAAAAGTATTTTTATCTATGCCAACTGTAAGTGGTAAGTGAATCTTAAAAATAGATGGATTTATGATTATGATTGCGTGTGAGATTTTAATAACAATTGGTTGTTTATATAAAAAATAGCTATTAATAAATCAATTAAAACAACCCGTGTAATAGATTTACCGTGTTTTATGCATCAAACTTACGTATCGATGATAATAAAAATAAATAATCGATACAAAATGGACAAACTTTCAAATCGTTGACGCATTCCTAACGAATAAATAAATTTCCATACCTGTACAACTACAAAAATCCGTTAATAGGCACACACACTGCACAGAGCACTGAATTGTTTCACAAAACTGACGCCACATTTATGGGGAATAACGTTAAAAATAGTTTAATATTATTAGCGAACTAAAACGGTTGCTCGGCGGGTGGTATTTTGCGATGTTGTTACTGCTGCGATCACACACGTGCGTTCACGTCTACAAACGTGCTCGCTCTGAGTTGACCTAGTCGGAATTAGGTGAAGCGGACCGCATCGACAGCACCTGATTGAATACTTTACAAATACAATAAAACCTTTTTACTACCTGTTCAGTTCATGAAATACATGGTCTTTATGGTAGATAACTATATATGGTTTTGTAAATGAATAAATTGTTTTATGCTTGTTGCAATTCCGTCTGTCAGATTGTATAAAGCGTTTTGTTTAATGTCATTTTCTAATGTCAACGTAAGTAATACACGAGTACATTCCCGCTTTTCAATTCGGGAAACCCATGAAAGAGTGTATAGTATAGTCTAATACTTATAATATTTGCTAAATGAATTTGCAAGTATATTCTTTTAGATGTATACCTACCATACTAAAATATACCATGTTAAAAGTAGAATTTATTGAAAATAAAAAATTATTTAGTTTGGTTTTAAAAATAAATAATAATAATAATAATAATAATAATAAAGACATTTATTCAGCATTACAGTATTCTTAGATGCTATCTATCTTATATACTATACAATTTAAAAGCTAAAAGCTAAAACATACTAGTAACGCTGAATGTGACTCCCACTCAGCATTTATACTGCAGTATATATATATACCACAGTGCTGATTTTCAGTGGGGCCACCACACACGAGAGAGCGTACGTAAAGATTACTAAAGAAAATAAAACGTTAAAATTAAGACCATTTTATAAATATGTATGAAAATGTATGTAAAGATAAATGCAATTTTAATTAATGTATGTATTTAGTATATTCTGTATATTATTTAAGTAGGTATATTGCTATGTAATGAGATATTTATTATAATAAAATTTATTAATAATATTTAAATATATAACGTACATAAATGGTGTAGTTGGTACATGTTTTAGATGCTTATTATATTATATGTGTTCCCTGCTACAATGATTTTTGTTCTTTAAAGAGGTGAGTGAATAATTTATGTTTGAAAGAACTAACTGTCACTGAATTAAGGATAGGAGGAGGCAGATTATTCCAGCACTTAGTGGCAGAGTATTTAAAACTACCACGAAATGCTGTGGTGTTAAATTGGGGATATATTAATCGAGAACAAGTTTGACCAAAATTACGATTAGAAAATCGAAGTTTATCAAATAAGTAAGAAGGCTTTTGATGTTTAATTATTCCAAATAACAACGTAGCGAAGTGTAGCTTGTTCCGTCTATCCATTTTTAACCAATTAGTTTGATTTATAAATGGAGTAACATGTCCTCGAAATGGTATGGAAAAACAAAACCTAGCACAAGCATTCTGTACTCTCTGTATCAGGTTTTTAGTACGGACCAATGTACATTGTCCATAAACAGCATCAGCGTAATTGAATTTGGATAATATCAAAGAATCACAGAGTGTCTTACGCAGATCTTCACAAACAAAGTTACGTACACGATATAGCACTTTTAATCTATAAAAACAATTACGCACTGTCTGCAATATATGATTTTCAAAACGAAGGGTTCCATCGAAAATTACGCCTAGATTACGAGCTTCATTCGTTTGTTGTAGAGGAATCCCTCCTATCGATACTGTGGGCTTATAAGACGTGATCCGCTTAATTTGATTTTTACTGCCTAGCAATATAAATTTTGATTTAGCTGGATTTAATGTAAGATTATTGAGTTTCGCCCATTCAATTATTATGTCCTAATATTTTATTCTATAAATACTTATTTTGATATGGATTCCCTTCTACACTGTTGTTTGGTCTCTTTGGTAATAGAATGTAGAAATATTGATTAAATAAACAAGCACCTATATTGATAAAATAAAACTGTTTTTATATATGTTAATGTATTATTAAATACCATTACCATTATCAAGAACTATTACCTATATACCAATAATTACAGCCTTCGACTATGACCATGAATTTTAGGGCTGAAACACGTTCGATACTTATAAACTAAACAATATTTTATATTAAGAAAATAAGAAATCGGATTAGTTAATATACACAAAGTTATTTCTAATGTTTTAAATGAAAGTGGTTAAGACAGCGTCAGATGTTGGTGGAAAATAGATGGATAAAAAACTATTTGTATCACTAGCACATACATAAACCTAAAAATAAAATAAAGAGTACAAATAACAAAAGAACGAACACAAAGTAACAAAAACTTGTAATCTTGTACGTGCTGCAGCGACAAAAATGGTTAAAACCAAATTTCTTTGGTCGAATACCGATTTACTGTTACCGTTACTTATTGATGCAGAGTAACAGCTATAACTGAGTCTTTTCCATTTGAAAGTAAGAATCCCATTCTCCGGAGCGGGAATGTACCAAGACTATAGAGACTATAGTCTTGGTCCATTCCCGCTCCGGAGTTTGTCTATTGAACTCTTATAAGTAGTAGATTATTTTGTTAAGGGCTATTAGGATATCTCGAGAGACTACGGCATGGGGGTTTTCATGAAGGGTATATTAAGGTTTCTTAAGGGTGCATTGCCTACCCTTAAGAAACTTTAACCTTCTTGAAAAACCCATGCTGTAGTCTCTCGAGATAACCTCGGCAGTTAGTTTATTCCAGAATGTAAGTGAACACGGAAGTAAGCTCCTCGGACTCCACTGTCCGAGACCACTTATATTTCAGCGTGTGGGGAAGAATTCCCTGTAAATGGGCATCATGTTGAACAATTTTTTAATTTTAAAACCTTTATTCGCTCCCTAACTAACTTGGGGTAAATTAGATTAACTTCAATTAGATCTACACAAAATGATCATGGTTACTATTCTAATCTTGTAAGCTAAACATGCAGTGACTAAAACAAGCTAAAAGAGGCACCAGCTCACATGTCTAAGCCATAAAGTGTACCGGTAGCGCCGCGCCGGGCCGCGTCCGATACATGGCGACCCACACATCCAATTATAAAGGAATGTGGGTCATACTAGCTTGCCTCACATAATATATCATGTAATTACCGGCTTATGTTCTTTGTCGATTCTGTTGTCACGGACGAGAGTTTTATTTTTATTTCCAGTAGTTTTTAAATTCTTTACATAAACATAACTTTAGCTTTTTATTGTAAGTTGCTTTTATTATAGTCTGTCGTAATAAGGAAGCGTTTTCAGTCGCCAGTATCAATGTATTTTCAGGAGCATATTGGCAAAATGCATGAGATTTAAAGATACGTTTCCTTCTTAATCAATTTGATAAGTTATGTGGAGTGGAAATATAATAGCTTGATGATTTGATCTTCTGTCAGCTGTAATGATAACATTGTGTGTTCTGTTCAACTCGCTTTTAGTTCTGCAAATGACCTCGTTTAATTTCTTGTGATGTCACTCCACTTTAACCTTGCTTTTACAGCGCCATCTATTTCCAAGCTAAGCAAAGTTTGTGTTATGGATACATACAACTAAAAAATATTATAAATACTTTTTTTCGTAAATGTATATATAGAAAACACCCAGACCCATTCAAACAATCATATTCATGAATTCATAAGGAGGTATCGAACCCGCGACCAAACGAAAGTAAGACGGTATATTAAACTGCTAGACCACAGAGGCGGAGTAATATAAGGGCATGTTTCGATTCTGTAATTCATTACATATATCTTACACTCGTTATAGACTCGCTGTCAAAGTCATAGCTGGCTGGTTTGACTACGATCAATAACTTCGAGAATAGTTAACAAGCTAGAAAAATGTGTATATTGCGGTATGCAGTAATTATGCTCTAACTGCTGCGTTATTACAAATTATTCACACACAGTGATTTGCTTGAAGGTTTTTACGAGCTAGGTTAGAGAGGCAGCGCATGACCAGCCTTTGTAATAATAAAACAGTAATTAAATATTACATAACAATAATAATTAAATTTTATTTGCATGCTACAGGGCAGAGGGAGCAAAAGTTATCTCCGGAAATGGACATGCGAAGAATTATTCAATTGAGTTTCCAGTTCTTCTCAATTGATTCTGTATGCTGAAGTGGATGGTAGGGACAAAATTATAATATAAAAATATGACATTCATAAGCGGCTAAAATGTCGTACATGATTTTTTAATTTGAATTACGGAAATGGAAGCCACATGACATGTGTATAAAAAAAAAGTATTGTATCCAGTAACCGAAATGAAAAGAATAAGTATGAGTAATATGTAAGTCTGTATTTATGTTTAGTCTATATTAATTTATATTGTCGTTCTCATTCTCTGTTCTCTGTGTGTGTAATTAAAAGTAAACTGATTTCCTTGTTGACTAAAACATAATGTATACGATTTTTAATACTCTCCCTGATCTGAATGGAACAAATTTCTAATATGGAAAGGCCTTCATTGATTAGAAAAATCAATCTATTTATAAAACTACCTCATAATTTTAAACACCCACACTTCACACCAGTACTTTATTGATGTATGGGATTTATTTTCTGCTCAATCAACGTGACAATACAATTGTATTCACCTATTCGCTAACAGATAATTCAATGTTATGCTTAATAGACTACGTTATCGTCTATTTCACCACGTCTAACGATTCTTTATGGTATTTAATACATACCAGTTGATGATTTCTGTGACCTTATTTTTCAATAATCATTATTTGTTGATTTCTTATTATTATTGAATAGTTGATCACGGAAACGCTGTTTTGCCATCTAAATTAAAATCGCTATTAAAAATAGGTATTGATGGTAGGTAAATTTAGGGATATATGTATTTTTAATTGGCACATTATAAAGAATTAAAAAAAGAATTGTCCATAAAATTAAAGAAAAATGTTAAGGGTGGGCAGCCCTTATTTCTTAGGGGTATGAATAACACAGATAGTAGCCGATTCTCAGACTTACTGAATACGTATATCAAATTTCATAAATATCGGTCAAGTCGTTTCGGAGGAGTATGGTAACTAACATTGTGACACGAAAATTTTATATATAAAGATGTTAAGTAATTACGTCTTTGTTACAGGTAGATACTCGCTTATGGTGGTTCG